CGCACACTGGTGGGGCTTGCTCTGCCTGGATACTTCTTGGTGCCAACCACCTGTCTAAATCCTCGCTTCAGATTTAAAATCAGCCAAACCACGGTGAAAACTGCTGTGGCAGCCCGAAAAAAAGACCGGGTCAGGTTGAGCTCCTCAAGCAATCTCAGTCTCCTGACTTCAGCCGTTCTCTGCTCAAATCCAACAGCGACACCGTGCTCTCTAATCCGCCCGGCCCCTGCTCACGTTGGTGCTGCAGGTGCTACAAAAACCAGGGCAAAAGTTTGGCAAGGGTTTTTTTTTTTTAACCTGTCTCTCAAGAAGGAAAAAAAAAAACCTTCAAAGGGCACAAAAATATCCCCCATAGCATGTGAAAGAGTTATTTTCATCTGCTCTTTCATAATTTATGAGTCGGTGATGGAGTTGGACGAGGCTTTCAAAACTATTTGCGTGTGGGGTGACTCTGCTTAGGGAGTGGCTCAGAAAAACCCCAGCAAATAACAGCAGTTACCCAAGCGAGACCTCCTCGAAGCTCACAGCTCAGGGCAGTGATGTTCATCCCAGCTGGGACACAGGGAAATGGAAGCCAACCGTCCCCAGGCCAGACGAGCGAGCAGACCCCTGCACCCTGCACCCCACAACCCACCGCTGCCGTGGTCACCGGGGTCCCACCGGGGACACGGAGTCCCCAGATACAGCCTGGCACCTAAATATAAATAAGAAAGGGGTGTGCCCTAAGCAGGCAGCAGCGTTTCATTCCTTAACTGTCTGGGGACATTGGCTCACACCTAAACGGCACGTTACCCCTTGCAGCTGCTGAGAGGGGCTGTGCTGGGTGCCCAGCCCCGCATCGCTTGGCATCGCAGGGGCTCCTGCCCTCCTCTCCCAGCGGTCCCGGGCAGCCTCAGCCCCCCGAGACACCCTGCCAGAGCACCTCTCCCTCCGACCAAAGGGACTGAGCACGCAGGATGGGGTAGAGCCATGTCTTTCCATCGAGCCATCCTCCTGTTCACCGTTCCCTGAATCCTGTGGCTTTTGCACCAAGAGAGGGGATAAACCTGAGCGTGCAAACGCCTTTCGGCAGCGACGGGCACTCACCGATGGGTAATGCTCTTCAGCAGACCCCAGAAGACCGGCTGGGGAAGCGGTCCCCGACCCCCTGCTTTCTTCCCTTTGCCCCCACTCTCTGTCTTTATATGCTTCGCCTTCAGCCCGTGCACGAAGACGGCTTCCAGGGTGCTGCAGAGGGTGTTCGCGTTCCCATCGTCACTGGTGACAATGGCATCCGAGGTCACGTACTGCTTCTGCAACGCCTTGATGGCATTCACCAGCTGCTTCTTGATCAGCTGCAAGACAGGAGGGACACGCTTGCATTACAAAAAAATAAGCATTCGGGAAGATTTCATATAAAAGGGCTCAAAAACTGCAAGGCTCGTGCAGAGCGAAGCACCACGCAGCTCCTGCTTCATCCCCGTGCTTCGCAGCAGCTCTCAGGGAGCACCACAGCTGAACTGGTCAAGCGGGGCACTCACTCTCTCGGCACCACACTTCACCCGGCTTTTTCTTTTAAATAAGCAATTCATGTAATTTTAGCTGGCGTTTCAGGGCCTGCTGGGTTGCTGGGGTTGCCTTTACAGCGTGTGGTGCTTTCTCTGCAGGCACCACACTCTGTAAGAGGATGGGAGAAAAAGAAACCAGCTCTTTCCAGGCACTTGCTCGGGGGAAACACAGGGATTAAATACGCACGGTGATAAACGAGAAGCTCGAAGGAGGCAACCCCTAACAAGGGCTGCGATACCGCTTGAACCCCTGCAGATCAGCCTAAGCAGCACGTGATGCGCTCACGAGTCCCGCAGCACAAACCAAAGCCAGCGGCCTCGCCAGCGCTCTCGGCAGCTCGGCTGTGTCGACGAGCCCACGGGCACAGCGGGGACGGGCTCCCCCAAAACGACGCTTTCCGAAGGACGGCTGGGGTTTAGCTGCTGCCTTCGGAGAGACTCGGTGGGCACTGATGCAGGAACATGGGGATTTTACCTCCCAGCAGCTTTGCTTTTTCTCACACCAGTCAAACAGAAACAAGCTCAGCAAATTTAACAATTTTACGCTGGTGGGAGCATTTTTTATGTTTTTTTTTCCTCTAACACAGCTGAGCCCGGCTGGCTCAATCAACCTTACTTAAAATGCAAGGTGCACTTCCCAGCAGGCGTCTGGCAAACACTGCAAACTCGGCCGCGACCCCATCAGACACCTCACGTTTCGGCACCGATCACGCAGCGTTCGAGGCGAACGCCGAGCAGCACCAGCCGCTGCGACCGGGCCAGGGCAGATTTTGACTCGAGCCCGCGTTGGCTGCACAAACTCATATTAAATTTCCAGGCCAGGATATTTTTTCCAGCATCTAAGTAAGATTTCCAGCAGCTGCAGTTCAAGGATGGGAGCCAGGGGAACCGGCACCTTATCCCTGCCCGTATCACGGAGCTGCTCTCCAGCTGCCCCGTGGCTTTGCTAGCACAAGCAACCCGCCTGCAAGCAGCAACCGTGCACTAACAGGATTAAAGAGTGCAAATGATTTTATCTGTCATGCATAAATTAATTCTGCCGTGGGATGAATTCAACACCCGGTTTGAACCGCTGGATCGGAACTTTGCTCATCAAACGTGTTTAGACTCTCAAAGCTGGTAAAGAACCCCCAAACGATGCTCCTTCACCCCAGTATCAGGGCTGAGGACCCCCCCCTGCCCCACGCTGGGTCTTGCCAAGAGGGGCAAAGCCCAAGGTGGAGGCTGGTGAGGGGCCTGGAGAACAAGTCTGATGGCGAGTGGCTGAGGGAGCTGGGGCTGTTCAGTCTG